TTTTAGCTTCTTACCCAATATGGATTCTTTTAAAATTGCATCTTTGAATCTTAACGGGGCGAGGGGAGCTGAGAAACGTGCTCTAATATACCAAACATTAAACCAAAAGAAAATTGACATCTTTTTTTTACAAGAAACTCACAGCGATTCTTTAATAGAAACAGACTGGGGCAGAGAGTGGAGGGGGGAGGTCATTTTAAGTCGTGGCACCTCCCAGAGTGCAGGGGTGGGCTTCCTCTTTTCCAGAGCGTTCACCCCAAACTCAACGGAAATCGAACATGTCATTCAGGGGAGGTGTCTTTTAGTTAAGACAAAGTTTGATAATTTTAGTATAGTTTTTATTAACATTTATGCTCCCACTACCAATGCAGAGAAAAGGCGTTTTTTTGAAGAAATTGAGGAACGGTTGGGTGATTGTGGGTCTGAGGATTATGTTTTTATTGGTGGGGATTTTAATTGTACAGAAAACGAGTTTTTAGATCTAATCATGCAGAGCCACATCCGGCAGCCCAACATGCTCTGCGGCAGCTGGTCTCGTCTCATGGCCTGGTGGATGTATGGAGAAAGATGCATGCAGGCTCCAGGCAGTATACATGGTCCCACATTAAGGAAAATAGAATCTCTTTAGCTCGTCTTGATCGTTTTTATTGTTTTAAACACAATTTTAATGTGTTTAAAACATGCCAGATTTTACCGGTGGCTTTTACTGATCATTCTTTGCTTTTAGGTAGTGTTTTTATAAGAAACATTTCACCTAGAAGCGCTTACTGGCATTTTAACTCAGCCTTAACTTATGATCGGGGTTTTAAGGAGGTTTTAAGTTATTTTTGGACTGGTTTTAGACAAAGAAAGTCTGATTTTACCCGTCTTAAAGAGTGTTGGGACTATGGAAAAGTTCAGATAAAACTGCTGAGTCAACAGCACACTCTCAACGTCACCCGTGACATTACCAGATCTATCAGAGATCTGGAGATAAACATCGTGGAATTAGAACGACTTAGTGAATCCACAGAAAATCGAGAACATATTGAAGCTCTCAAATCTAAAAGGCTAACTTTAGCAAACCTGCTGGAAAACAAAGTCCAAGGCGTATTGGTCAGGTCCCGGATCCAGAACATCACAGAGATGGATGCTCCCTCTAGCTTTTTCTTCAGCTTGGAGAGGAAGCACGGGCAGAGGAAGCTGATCCACTCTTTGCTGTCGGACACAGGGCAACAACTGAGTGAACCAGGTGAGATCAGGAGGAGGGCTGTGGAGTTTTACCATTCTCTGTTCCACAGCGAATACAAGGAGAATGAGGAACTGTTCCGGGAGTTCTGCAATGAACTACCCCAGGTCTCTGAGGAGACCAACCCCGAGTTGGAGTGCCCCCTGGGGCTTCAAGAACTCCACACAGCCCTTTTTAGTATGCAGGGCCAGAAGTCCCCAGGCGTTGACGGGCTCACGGTGGAGTTCTACAAGGCCTACTGGGACATTCTGGCCACAGACCTGCTCGGCGTGTACAATGAAAGTCTGCACACTGGTTCACTCCCCTTGTCCTGCCGCAGGGCGGTCATCACCCTGCTGCTCAAAAAGGGTAACCTGCAGGACATCAAGAACTGGCGCCCTGTGTCCCTCCTCTGCACTGACTACAAGATCCTCTCCAAGGCTCTGGCCAGTAGGATGGGAAAAGCTATGGAGCAGGTCATCCACCGGGATCAGACCTATTGTGTCCCCAGCAGGTCCATGGTAGATAACATCTACCTGATTCGGGACGTTTTGGAGGTCTCCAGTTCATTGGGTTTACAAACTTTCTTGATTTCACTAGATCAAGAAAAGGCATTTGACCGCGTTGAACACGGCTTCCTCTGGAAAACCATGAGGGGGTTTGGGTTCAGCGAGGGTCTTATTGCCAAGATCCAGGTAATGTACAGTGACATTGAGAGTGTGCTGAAGATCAACGGTAGCCTGTGTGCTCCTTTTAGAATGTGTAGAGGCGTTCGACAGGGCTACGCACTCTTGGGGATGCTCTACGCACCCTCCCTGGAACCCATCCTCCAGAAAATACGCGCGAGTGTTTATGGTCTGGTTTTACCTGGTTTAGTAACGATCTGCCTACGCTGATGATGTTGTTGTTTTTATAAAAGATCAGCAAGATGTCAGTGTTTTAACCAAGATCACAGAAAAATTCTCTGTTTTGTCTGCTGCGAGGGTGAACTGGGGAAAGAGCGAAGCCCTGGCCGTCGGCGAGTGGTCTGCTGGGCTCCCAGTTCTCCCTCAAGGTCTTGTGTGGAAAAAAGACGGTTTTAAGTATCTTGGTGTGTTTTTAGGCAGTAAAGATATTGTAAATAAAAACTGGGAAAATGTCGAGCAGAAAATAAAAGACAAGTTGTTAAAGTGGAAGTGGCTCCACCCTCAGATGTCCTACAGGGGCAGAGTGCTGGTTTTAAACAACCTGGTAGCATCGCAGCTGTGGCACAAACTTTCTGTTTAGACCCATCATCTGGTTTATTAGTCAAAATACAGTAAGAGATGGTCGACTTTTTCTGGAATGGTCTACACTGGCTGCCACAGTCTGTGTTGTTTTTACCAAGAGAGGAGGAGGGCCAGGGCCTTGTTCACCTGGCCAGCAGAACAGAAACTTTGGTAACACTTTATTTAAAGGGGGTTGAATAAGACTGTCATGACACTGTCATAAA